TCATATCACATTATTTCAGTCTTATAAGAAGTGACATATAATTTTACTATATAAACCCCTGTGACACAGTGCATAATGTCTGGTCAAGTAGTGAAATGAGAAAAAGAGTTTTTAAAGCCACGGTTTATGCCACATTATATTGTCATATGAGAATTCACCTTCTTTCCTTTATAGCAAAACAGGACTGGTACATTTTGTTATCTACTTAGCATTACTGCTTTTTCTTTTTGACATATTTAGAGTCCATTTCTGGTGCTCACAGGATAGCAATATAAAATGTAACAGTATCGGTACTTACTGCAGAAGATTCCTGAAAATATTGAATAATAGGTGAGCTGTTGAGGAATGTTTCTTAATCATTTTGCTCACCCCTTTCCACTTAAAGTATGGACCCACAAAAAAATGTTTATTTGTATGGTTTATTTTTATCAACATATACTGTATTAAAAATTAAAATTTATACATTTGTAGAGGGGAGGACACGATGGCTCATTCTCATCAGATGAATGGAAGTGGGAGCATTTGCAATAAAGGTCTGCCTTTTATGAAACCTTACTATTAGATTCAGTTAGGAAAAATATAGCTTTTTTAATAAAAAAAAATGGCGAACAGCAGACATAAAACAAGTTAACTGACAAAACCAAACCAAAAAATAGGCAAAAGCAGGGTAGGAAGGTGAGGTGAAGGGGGGGATAGAGAGACAGACACACAGAGAGATAGACAAGAAGTGAAAGGGCAGCAGACTTAATAATAATAAACCTACTGTACATTACAACAATCAATTAAAAAGGCTAACTTTTGGACTTCCGGTTTTTCATCGTAATGCGGCCGAGGGATTGCAGAGCTCCACACCCCATGACTGGTTTCGCCCTGCCTGGGACCCTAAATAGGTCTAAGACTCCAGATGAAGTACTACATGTCTAAACACTTGTTTGAATATGGTTAAAAGAATAGTCAAATTTTGAAGATGAAAGAGTTTTATAGTAAGAGAGATGTGACTTATAAGTAGTGTACTATTTTTTTCTATGATATGGGAAATGTAAAAATGTTGGGATGATTCAAGTGTATGAAATATTTTGAATATTTTAATGTAATAAATTTTGAGAAAACTATAACTGACAAGAAATGTTTTGAATACTGAGGGAAAACTAAGCTTAAATAAGAGCTATAAAAACAGGACATAGTGATTTACATAAGATGATTTTTTGCAAATGCAAATGTAAAATAAGCTGATTAGAAAAGGCATTACATACTGATGTTATTGTCAAATACTAGAAAAATGTTTATATTGAACTTCATATGTATTGATAGTCTTAAGAACTATATTTGCGAAATGTTGGTAAAAGGAGAATATTATTGGAAGAAGAGAAGATCAAGGAAAAATATTTTTAGTCAGCATGTTGATTATGAAAGCATCAAAATTAACTATTATTGACTGTTGTTAAATATATGAACCCAGACAACACATTGTTTACTAAGCACTAAAGTCTGTTATTCTAAAAAAATCAATAAAAATATTAAAAAATAAAAATAAAAAGGCTAACTTTCCAGAGCCACTGGCAACAATACTGTCGGTAATTAGCATGGGCAGTTCCTTTTTATGTACATAACAGCAGTAGAATAGAGAGGGAAATAGTACCCAAGGTGATCTCTGCTCTGCTCCATGAAAGGAAATATTTAGTTGCTGCTGAACATGTATCCAGCAGAACTACTGCTGATTATCACCCCATTGTGCTATCTATAATCTATTATGCCATTGGAACAGAACAGAACAGAACAGAATAATAATAGCATTGGAAAGGACCTCAGAGGTCTCCTAGTCCAATCCCCTGCTCGAATAGGAGACCCTATATCATTTTAGATGCATGGTTGTCCAGTCTCTTTTTGAAACTTCTGAAGGCAAGTTATTCCATTGGTTAATTGCTTTCACCATTAAGAAATTTTTCCTTAGTTCTAGGTTGTTTCTCTCCTTGGTTAGTTTCTAACCATTGTTTTTTGTCTTGCCTATTGGTGCTTGGGAAAATAATTTGATCCCCTCGTCTTTCTAGGAGCCCCTCAAATTTTGGATCAGTGCTATCATATCTCCCATAGTCCTTCTTTTCATTAGACTAGACATATCCAATTCCTGTAAATGTTCTTCCCCTAATCAGTTTTGTTGCTCTTCCTGCTATCTTTCTAGAGACTCAACATCTTTTTTGCGGTGACCAGAATTGGATGCAGTATTCTAAGTGTGGTCTTGCTAAAGCTTTGTAAAGCAGTACTAGAACTTCACGTGATCTTGATTCTATGCCTCTATTTATTTATTTATTTATTTATTTATGAGACTTATATACCGCTTTAAGTACAAGCACTCTCTAAGCGGTGTACACCAGTAAGCAATGTATATATATATTTACATTGCCCCCAACAATCTGGGTCCTCATTTTACCTACCCCGGAAGGATGAAAGGCTGAGTCAACCTTGAGCCGGTGAGATTTGAACCGCTGACCTGCTGAACACAGTCAGCTAAGTACTGCACCCTAACTGCTGCGCCACCTCGGCTCTATTAATGCAGCCCAGGATTGCATTGTATCCCACTTCTCAAATCTGATGCTTTTCAAATATGGTCGAAAGAGTAGATAGAAATAATAAACATAATAGAGTCTCTCTTGCCTTTATAATTATCATAAAATTCACAGCCTATGTGTAAGAGCTTGAGATAAAAATAATTTGCTGCAGACTACTCAGCAGCTTTGCACTTTCCTAATATTTCTGCTCACTTATTAATGTGAAAAGGCAAAACAGAAACTATAAATGTTCCACATTGTAACACAACCTACATTTTACTGTGATCAGAAATCAATGTTGGTATTATAAAAAAATTGCACATGGAGGTCACACACATAAGTATAATGTGTTCCGTTAGCAACCAATGTGTTCATTTTAAATTGCTTATTTAGACAGGTCTGTTCGTGGATGACAATTTGAGCAAATATAGTTTTTGCTGGAAAATCTATACAGTAGCAAATGATACAGCTGATAGAATTCTATCCTGTATTACTGTCATGGTCCCCCTTGTTAACCAATAAATATTTGAAAGGCAATCTTGGATTTCTGCAGTTAAAGAGAACAAGGAGCATTAAAAATAGGCACAAATCAGGTGTGTCTCTAATAATGTGGGATGTTTTAGAGAGTTGTATAAACAACAAAACCATTTAGGTGTATTATAGACAACAGAATTCAATATGCAGGTCACATGATGGTAAACAATATGAAAAAGAGCATTGTAGTCAAGACATTTTTTTTATATCTCTAGACATTTCCTTGTTATTATATGATTCTAAGTATGATGGAGGTTTGACTGTATACAGTAGATAGTTTCTTATTACTATTGATATAAAATAAACTTCCCTGAGCTCCAGTAACATTATTGTTTCTTCCACCTATAGTGTATGAAATTCCTTTCTTTCCTTTTTCAAACTCTCCATTACAATTTGTTTCTTTTGCTAATTGAAGTAACCATTGCTAGTTATGGTAAATTCTATGCGCTGAGCTGCTCTGAAGTTGAAGTATTTATTATAAATGGCTTTGTCAGGGGGAAAAAACACACCGGTATTTTCAGGATAGCCCGGGGCAGAAAAAGTGCTTTCATTTGGATTAAAGCTTACGTTTAAGCTTAGAAATAGAAGTATATTTCTGTAAGTCCAAACCTATGGACTTGAAAGAAATATGGAAGATCTTAATGAAGATATTGTTGAACTCGGCAGTGTACTCAAGCTCAGGAATCTGAGAAAACAGTAGGTGAAGGATTAGGAAAATTCTAGTAAAGATAGGTCATAGATACTTCAGGCTGCAATTCTTAATTTACTTGTCATTGGTCATGACTCTTGATGGAAATAAAATCCAAAACATCTGAAAAGCATTTTGAAGAATTGCCCTGGTGCATTAAGATAAAAAAAAAAGACAATTTGCTATGACTGCGGTACATTCAGTGCTATGGGCAGTTCTGATCAGTTCTGCACCAGTTCAGCAAAACCGGTAGATAATTTTTGTTTGCCCAGACCGAGAATGGACTTCCAGAAGTGGCATCCACACAGAGAATCGATTGTTTATATATTTGAATCCCACCACTGGTTCTGATCCAGATTTTATTTAGGACTCAAATGCTCTCTAAATCTGCTTTGGCTCAGATATGAGAGATAGTCAGTTTAGTTTCAGTTTAAAAACTATAGCATTATTTATTTATTTATTTATTTGTGAGACTTATATACCGCTTTAAGTGCAAGCACTCTCTAAGCGGTGTACACCAGTAAGCAATGTATATATATATTTACATTGCCCCCAACAATCTGGGTCCTCATTTTACCTACCCTGGAAGGATGGAAGGCTGAGTCAACCTTGAGCCGGTGAGATTTGAAACTACAATCAAGCTATACTTGCTTAAGATGGTATCTTTGCATTTTTTTTTTGGTCGAATTAAGAACTTTACGCAGTCATACAAGGCTGGCCCTGGGATATAAATAAAAGAGGCGAGATGATAATTGGGTTCATAACTTTCTAAGATAAATCAGGATTAGGATAAATCCTGTCTCACAGTCACAGTACAGAAGTGGTTTCTCCCCCACCACGTTAGTTTCGATGAGAAATGCCAAATACCAAGGTGAAGAAGATAGAAGAAGCAAGTTTCAGGCTGTTCCATTCTGCCATTGTAATTTCTACAGTTATTCTGACAACAAAATGAAATGGGTCCCGACAAGCAAATAAGAGTGGGTTTTGTGTTTCGTGTTTCATACATTGGCTTAGATAAATTACATTACATAATACACTAGTGGAATAAAGCACAGAAGGCTCTCCTTTGCAGGAGAGAAGAAAGACCGCAGAACTGAGTCTTCAGCCAAATATACCCAACAACTTATTAAAATGCATATTTAAAAACTATCTGCAGTTTTGGGGGGTTTGAAAATGGAATTATTGCTCTATTAATATTTATGAACATTAAAGAATCTATTTTTACATTCTAGGTCAAACATAAGGCCCCAGTATGCAGAAACAAGTACACATGACTTTAAAATGTATACCTTCACTCGTGTAACATCCTGCAAAGTCTGTCAGATGCTTTTGAGGTGAGTGTCAAAGGAGCTGAAGTCTAAAAATTATATTACACCTGGGAAAAACATGACATTCAATAAACTCGTCAAATTATCTGATGGACTCTACCTCTTTTTTAAAGCTAGCAAGTGTTAAAATCTAGAAATAGTTGTATATTTCAGCATTATCATGAACCCAGGTAATATGTTCAAATAGCAAGCATAACACTTCCCTCTCTCTGAGTGGGAAATGTATGTAAAATCAGTGATGTATCATGGGCATTTGTAAAGACAAAGAGGCAGGAGGGATGCTCAGCTCTCTTGATTTTTCTCATATAACCAGAAAATATGTTTTAAGATTATACTGAAATTTTTTTTAGAAGAAGATTAAACCCACTTTCCAACTGAAAATGCTGTTTCTTCAGGTTAACTGAAGAGCCATTGGGTGGCAAATATGAGATTATTTTTACAAAGTATGTACATTCATTTAGGATACATCATGTGCATCTGAGGACATGAGATAATACAAAAAAATGGAGTACCTACTATTTTAATTAAAATGTGTAATGAATGAATTCCTGGGATTTTGAAAAAAAAAATGGCAACATTCTGTAGGATAGTTAGAATTTCAGAATTTAGAAATAAGATATTGGGTAACTAGTCAGTATCATCAACTTCATTTTTTTTGTTAAAACAATTAGGGAAAAATGTAAAATTAATATGTGCTGTAGTAAGATTTTTGGTTTGATAGTTTTGAAGTTAGATTTTAGTGCTGAGTTTATATATGCTTAATTAAGGGCCATGTGCTGTGCCAAATAGGAACCATACATAGGTGTATATGCACATATATGCATTTATTTATCTTCCCAACAATTCTGTAGCTGAAGACCAAGTCCTAAATGAATGTAAAGTATTATTTCCAAACTAATAATAATGAAATAGAGTCATAATTATGTCTGCAATTTTCTTTTGCTAATTTTTGGTTCCTAGAATTCTACTTTTCTCATTTCAGATAAGTTAGCATTCTGATGGCATGCTCATTGAATGAATCATAATCTTTAATTTTAGCTTGTATTTCTCCCAAGTCTTCCAAATACATTATTTTTTATGGATTTCACTGCAACCAGAAAATAGGTATTATCCTGTCAAGTCAGTTAGAAGGTTAAGTGTCCATGAAAAGATTTTTGTCACTTAAATATAGTAAATGTTATTTAATTAATTTATTATAAAATCAACAACATGGACTTTTGAAATAAAACCTTTGAAATATTCTTCATGCTGTAAGAAGTGGGATACTCTAAAAAGTCTGAGTAAATTGGTATTGAACAATTTCTTTCTACTTCATTGTCCCTGAAAGATTAAATATATTTATACTGAATATTTATATTGAAATATGTTCTCAGATACTGAAGATAATTAATCCATATAAATGTGATTAAATAAATGGAATGATTTTGTGCCTTTCCTTGGAAAATAGTAATAGGTCTAACACTACTAAATTTTTTTTGTAAAGTGCAATTTCTATTAGTAACGTTTGTATTGTTTTCCAAGTTCATTTCTTTTAAAATCATAAATGCTGATTTTCAAATTGTCCTTACATGAAGAATTATTTTCCACTAAGGCCATTGCAAGCCCCCCCCCCCAAAAGAGGGGTTATGATACAAATGCTACAAGTTATTCTTCATATACTATAGGCTTTACTTGAGATCAAATGATTCCAGTAGTTGAATATTTTGTATTAAAAATACAGTACTAATTAAAAAAAACACTTAGCATTTAATTTAACTTAATTCTTCCTTGAGAGAAATGTGACTATACCAATCTGGCATTGTGCAGGATAGCTACACTATAAGTCTAAACAAAACATTAAGTAGGTGTTATTAAGCATGATTCCATTTGATAGGAAGAAAAATAGTATGTTCTGTCCATTATGATTAGACTATTTGAAAAATGTCCTATATTTTCCCACAAAATATATCCTGTAAAATATAAAGTCCTACAAAAACGATGTCTACAGTGTGCATATAACCCCACGAAGCAATGTATAATATTATAAACATACATATTATACAGTTGTGTCATGCCAGAATGTAAAGGCACCAGTGCAATAGTCATGAGCTCTGAATATATAGTAGCAATAAACTCCACTGAGTGATGTACTACATCAACAGCTTCTGCATAGTCATCACATTACAATTTATTGTGATTGCACACCTCTCTCTTGGCATTAAAAGTAACAGAGATATCATCAAGAGTCTGAGGCTGCCACTCCTAAAATCCCAGAGCTTTGTCTCAACACAAATTCCAGGATTTGATCAACACTAAAACCAGATATACTAAGGAAAAAAAAAAGTTTTGGAATGATCACATTATCATGGATTGTTCACCTTCCAAAAATGTAAGTGCTTAAGTAACCAACGTCCATTAGAGTTGTAAAAACAAACTAATGAACAAAGAACATTGCTGGTTATTGGTATTCAGGGATTTATTACTATATAAGTATCTCAAAGTATATATGAAAGCATTCTTGTAAGACACATTGAACTGCTTCATATTTTAATATTTGTTACATTATACCAAATGCCTTCTGATTTCCATGCTATTTTGTATTTCAGGGGATCATTTTATCAAGGCTATTTATGTTCAAAGTGTGGGGTTGGAGTCCACAAAGAATGTTTGGGAAGACTCGACAACTGCAGGGTTAATTTAGTTGGTAAGTCATCTGCATTGTTTGGGATTCTATTTTAATTAGGTCATAAATTTGCCAGATTTAATTAAGACTTAATTTCCCTTAAGTTGTGTTCATTGTATTTTTGTGTTAATGTATTTATAAATATAACTATAATTCCTTTTTGGGAATCAGTACCTTTTGCAATTTACTGTGAAGTAAAAGACCTGTAAGAACCACTGGAATACTGTAAGGAGCTTTCAAGAGTCATATAATTAGATCTAGGTATCTGATAGAACTTCTTATACTTCTCAAATTACAGCTCCTCATTTCTTGATCTTCTATCCCCTGCTATAAAGTAGTAATACTGAAGAATTTTTGTAGAGGATCATGGTTGAGAGTGATCACTGTGGGCATTCAAAAGTTTGCTTAGAGGAATTTATAAATTGGAGAAGGCAACCAGTAATTATAGCTTATAGCCGTCATCATAGAGGCAGGTTGGTCTACTGGCTAAGGCAGGGGTCTTCAAACTTGGTCCTTTTATGACTTGTGGACTTCAGCTCCCAGAATTCACAGCCAGGCACCCTGGCTGAGGAATTCTGGGAGTTGAAGTCTACAAGTCATAAAAGGGCCAAGTTTGAAGACCCCTGGGCTAAGACATTAGGCCAGAAAGCAGGAGACCATGAGTTCTGGTCCCAGCTTGGTGACTTTCGGCCAGTCATAGACTCTCAGCTCAGCCCACCTCACAGGGTTGTTGTTGTAGAGAAATTGGAAGAGGAAGGTGTGTTGATTTTTATACATAACTTCCTTGAGTTATGTATAAAAATAAAGGCAGGATACAAATAAATAAATAGTCACTTACTTCTAAAACACTTGATATTAGTTTCTAGGCATGACAGTGGAAGAGGCAGAGAGCAATTATATCTTTTATGCCTTTATTTAATCTTCTCAAAAGCATCTGCTTGCCTATTAAAGGAACATAAATGCCGGTTTAGATATTCCACTGTTCAAGACCTTATGTGGCGAATATTGGAATTTTGAGCAAGCTTTTATTTTTTAGCCAAACATGACCGCTTAGATTTTTCACAAAGCCCCTGCAGCAGGTATACAAAATAATAGATCAACTTGTCTCCTGTTCATAATTTGATCGTTTAAATAGGGCAGTTTTCTAAATATAGAAAATCAGGTCAGAAGTTTTAAATAAATTGGAGAAGAACATCCTGCATTTCTGATGTTGTAATATGATAATTTATTCATTAATCCATGAAGTTGTCTGCATGTGATCTTTGCCTCCAGCAGTTGAATAGAAATCGTTTAATTATTTCATCCATGATATGACTTCAAAGAAAATCTGAAAACTTTTGTGACCATTTGGTGAGGCAAATCACAGGACTGTACATTTTAATGTTGTGTAAGGTAAGAAAGGATAAGTGTTAGAAGTGGGCAAAATCTTTCCCGAAATGACAGGTTTTATACCAGTCTGCTTTCTGCATAACTATTTGAGAAAAGGGAGCTATGTCGTGCTTCCATAGCTGATCATCCTGTTTGGTAATTGGTTAAGAATACTGAATTATTTTCCAGACTTGTATTGCTGTCTTGCAGAGAATTTAGCAAGCAGCCAGATATTTGCATTTCATTATTTTAAAATAATTGGTTAATGCTCAAAATATAACTCAGAGATAATGAAATGCTACAGCTATTCTGGTGATGAGACTGAACCCGTCCCCCCTTATTCTCTGCACTGCCTTTCCCCAAACAAAGACATGCTTTCTAGATGAGCTGAGTGCAGGATCCAGAATTTGCCAGCTACCATGGCCATTGCTGAGTATTCTGGGAGTTGAAGTCCACACCTCTGGAGAGTGCTAGAGTCAACATCATCATCATCAGTTGTGGGTGCTCCATCACTGGAGGTTTTTAAGAAGAGATTGGACAGCCATTTGTCCAGAATGGTATAGGGCAGTGGTTCTCAACCTTTTTAATGCCGCGACCCCCCAACCGGTCGTAAGTCGAGGACTACTCAACCGGTCGTAAGTCGAGGACTATTCAACTGGTGCAGCACCGTTTGCAGAATGGGACTTTTGGCGGGCTCAGCAGGGCAGAGACAACCTGGACAATTCCTATTGGCTTTTGAAAGCCAATAGAATAAAAGGGAGTCTATTTTATTGGCTTTCAAAAGCCAATAGAATAAAAGGGAGTAGCACAGCTAAGGAAAAGGGGAAAAAAATGGCGGACTGCGTTGTTTGGAGACCCCCGTAAAATGGTCGTTCGACCCGAAATGGGGTCCTGACCCACAGGTTGAGAACCACTGGTATAGGGTCTCCTGTTTGTGCAGGGGTTGGACTAGAAGACCTCCAAGGTCCCTTCCAACTATTGATATGAAAGGAAGTTGCAAGCTTGCTGTGATTCAAGTTTCTCTGCCAAACCTTTAGATGGTGAAAAGGTCTACTAATAATCTAGAAAAAAGTATACTATTGTCTAAAGAGCTAATAGAATTGTTTTGATTGTCTGCTTATCAGTCCATCTCCTGAAAAAAGTAACCTGACCTCCTATCAGTGATGATTATTTTATATATATAAATGACAGAATTGTCTGCAAAGGGGAAGTTAAAAAAATCTTAATTATCACTGTTTAATCACACCTGTGTTCTCTTTTAGCACGATAGATTTTGGTTTCCTTCCAGAAAAACATTTATATAAGCACAGAAGTCAGCAGATCTAAAGACTGTATAGGGTGTGACTGTGAATATTTTTTTAAGTTAATGGAATTAAAATGAATGGCAACACCTGGACACTGAGCACAGCTTAGACCTGACTGCCTAAATTCTACTTTGTAAAATATAAAATATTTTACTATTAATTTAATAGTAATTATGCTAAACAAAACAGGAACTAGCGGTCCCAGTGGAAAATGTTATACCAACCCCTTTGTCTTGTTTTCAAAGGATACTTAACAAAAAATGGAAAAACACTCAGCACTTTTGATTTTTAGGGTATTATGCAAAGGTAAATTTGAATTTTTCCAGCAGATGGATGTAACTTCTCGTAATTTACTATGAGTGTGCACATATACTGCATTTAGATTTTACATATTTAGGTGTTTTTTTGTATTTAGGTTTTACATATTTAGGTATATTTTTAAAACGGAAGTCAGCAGCTTTTTCATGTGGAACAAGACATAAAAATACAATTTGAAAAATGCTATGGATACCAAACAAAGAAAAATTAAAATAAAAAGGAATATATCCATCATACCATTTTTTTTTAGAGTAAACAACAATATGCAAATTGCAACATGAAATGAGGAGGTGGTAAGCAAGAGAAATTCAAGGTGTGAGATAAGAAAATAAAGAAAAGGCAACTTAATTAAATCTAATTTACACAAACTCTGTTTGCTCCATCCTTTCACACTCATGCTTCTCAAGCTTAGCAACTTTAAGATGCATGGAAGTCAACTCCCAGAATTAGCTGGGAAATTCTGGTAGTTGAAGTCCACAGATCTTAAAAGTTCCCAAGGTTGGGAAACACTGTTCCACATCTTTCTATTCTTGAAAACCATCTTTGCTTCCATTGTGTCCCTATGTCAATTCAGTGTCTTTTGTTTTTTAAAGCAGGGGTCCCCAACCTTGGCTACTTTATGACTGGCTGAGGAATTCTGGGAGTTGAAGTCCACAAGTCATAAAGTAGCCAAGGTTGGGAATCCCTGCTTTAAAGAGTCTGTTTTTCAGGATCCCAAGAACTCTGACCATTAATTTGTTAGTCTTCACATCCTTGCTCTTTAACTCTGTGAGGCCAAGCAAAGATACTCAGTACCTCACTCTCAACATAATGACAGCCTCATTTGTTTTTCCTCCTTGATCCTATGTTGTCTTGTTTTACCACATGCCCTTTAGTTTCCCAGCATTCAGTTTATTTTTATATTTCTCCTGAAATATAAAATTTATATATGTTCTGTATAACAAAAGGAGCAAAAGCATATAAAGCCACTTTGACTTCTTTTGACGAACATTCATTTCTCATAAGAGACTACAGATAGTCCTTCACTTATGATCATAATGGAACCTGCCCATCACAGCTGTAATTTGTAGTAGTTGTAAAAGAAATCAGTCATGTGACCAACTCAGTTTCAAGTCCTTTTCGGTGCTACGGTTGTTAAATTCAGTCTTGTGACCATGCCCCCCTCCCCCGTCTATCAGAACTTTGAATCTGGGTCATTAGTAGTCCTAAGGTAGTCCATTGTAACTTTGAATGGTTGCTAAGTAACTACCTATACTAACTTCCCATTATCAGCATTTGTATGAATTCACTTTTCTCCCTCTACTTCCCTGTCTTTAGTAAAACAAAGTACACAAATTCATCCACTTGCTCTAGTTTTTCCATCTACATATGCATAATATGTGCACTCCAATTTGCCAAGGTCTTTGTAAGATGCAATGAGGCTTGTGGATCTGAAAATGAACATACTATGTTAGCAATCATTTACTGACAATCAGTTTGATTCTCAGCAGCATGGGAAAAACCCACTTAGAAATAAAAAAACATGCAAGACTGTTCACTTCCCAAGTTTGATTCTCGTATCTTTCTAATCAGAATATCTCTCTTTAACTATACATTAATTACATCCAAAAAAATTTAAGAAAGTGATGTTTGTGTGAACCTTGTGTCCATATAGACTGCATTATGGCTGTGAGCTTGATTGAAATCTTTTGACTCCTAGATGCTCACCTCATCAGCTTATTGCAGACAGTTTTTATAATCTGCTCATGAGGAGCAGCTGTCTGGAGTGCAAATGGGCGATCCCACAATCTCATCTTTATCTGGAAAGATTGTGCTAACTAGAATTCACTGCCTGGCTGCTGATCTCGGCCTTTTAATGCCATCCCAACTGCTTCAGGGACATGTAGTCTGCCATAAGTCTTTACTAGAGGCCCTACTGCCTTTCTAACTATTGACATCAAACATTTCAACTGTTTGTGGAGTGGTCTATAGCCAATCTGAGTACAATTGTTTCTGTAATATATATGTACAGCATAGAACTGTTTAATACTTACTGCATGTTAGATTGTAGATATATTTTAATGCTATAGATGTGCATATTTTGTTTCATTGACGTATTCATAAGAAGATACTGCAGTGAATTTTGTCACATGAAATTCTCTTAATATGATCTTCCTGTAAACAATAAGACCCATTTTTCACACATTATTGGTGGGATGCACCAGCAAGACATTTTGCATAATAGTCTATTTGGGGTTGGTTTTTCAGTTGTGCAGTGGAGAGGAGAAATTCCTGGATAACTGCCTAAAAATAAACAATCCTAGCATGTGCATTACAACATCTCTCTTGCCAAATTAGGAGAATCATATTTCTTTTCATGAGAAGCTATTCAAATAAAATAGAGGGCAAGTCCGCTCATGTCTTGAATTGTATGTTACTTTGAGTGCATATTAAAATGTTCTAATTTGAAATTCGTTGCTCATAAGCCATTTTATGATGCATATATAATTCATCTCTCTCTTGTTTTTGCCCTTATTCTTAAGGTATATGCCTTCTTATGAAATAAACCAGTTTTACCAAAGTATAATAGGGCTAATGTTTTCTAAAAAAGGAGAGAGCTAGGCACCATTTCATGATTTTTAAGAGCATGATTATTTTTATTTGTTAATATTAATTATGATTGTTTGCATTTTGATTTTGTAAGAAAAAATTGCAAATGTGAACGTTATATTTTGCTTTTTGATTCCTCAACCTTTTTAATATTGCATTTCAGAATCTATCATGAAGAACACTGCCTGTTTTGTTTTTTTAAAAAATCTGCAATATTTGAATTCCAGTAGCTTCCTTTTCATTATCTGTCTATCCACATAGCTATCAACAGTGACTAGTTCATACATACATGTCTGTCACATGATTTCCCATCATTCATTGATTCAAAAATTGATGATTCAAAATGAATGTAGTGAACTGGCTCAGATTAAAACAAATAGTGGCTAGGATATAAAAAGCCTTTCGATTATGACTGGAGGATCTCTGCAATAACTTGAATTTCCTTTCTTCCCCCATACCAAATCAGGATTCCATTAGAAGAAAACTATAATTTGAGAAGTCAAAGTCACCCTCCCCTTGAATGTTCAAAGCTCATTCAGCTGGTTTTTCGATCTAGATTGCTGTTTTTGAAGTTAAAAGAAGAAATATAAAAATTCTGTTTGTAGGACAAGTTTTGTAATGTCTAATTCACATGTGCCAATCTCTTCTTGAATTTACTGTCTAAGTGACTGTCATATATGCAGTGCTTTTTTTCTTAAAAAAAAAAAAAAGGTGCCGGTACTCCATTCTAGGCATTCTGTGAGAAAAAAAAAGCCCTGCATATATGTATAGATCAGTCCAAAGCTCTTTCAATATTTGGGCTAAGACAGACTAGGATTTGGTGTACTTCATCTATCAGAGAAATATATACAAAATATATGTGTAATGAAAAAGCTCCATACAAGTCTTACATCACTTTAATGTAATAATTATACTACGTATGTAATAATATATTCTGGATATAGTTTTTTGGAGAGAAGAAACTGCAATTGCTCTATGCTGAAGTCTGGGTTCAAATCACTGTATATTTTTAAAACTGGAAAATGTTCATCTCTATAAGTTTCTGCAGACTTCAGAGTGTTTCCAGAGATTTTAGGCGATCTGTTGCTTCAGAAAACTATGTGTCATGGAGTTAAGCATAAACCCAACACTTTTTTTAATAGCTGTTCAGTGCTGCCTGAGTTGAGCCAATAAAAATAAACACGGTTGCAAAATAACTAGCTGAGCCTCAGGGTTGCTGGAGCATAAAACAGGTTATCAGCTAGCAAAACAAAGTAGTTCTATGTATTCTCACTGTATCCCTGAGCTAGGGATAACTATTGTACAGTGTGGATGTTCTGCCACTGATCATGCCAATTTTTACATTTGTTCCAGAACATGGAACCCTGAAACATGAGGTAAGTGTACCTTTTTTTGTGATTTGATAGATTATTGGTTGTAGAAATGAACAAAATGCCTCCTTTTTTTGTATGTGTCTTTTAGCCCTAACAGAAGGTAAAAAGTTTTTTTTACAAAATCTGTATGATTTCTGAAGGAACTTTGTTTTTGGACTCCTTGCATAATCCTAGATTAGAAAGAGAAAGGACCAAACTGTTGAAAATGAAGCATTTTAAGTAATTAAATACACAACTCTGTGGTTGAAATAAAAGAATCCTGAATGTTCTTCATCTATTTTGGACCATGCTTTAACAAGTATTGCAGGATTTGCATAATTTTCATTAAACTTCTTCAACGTACCAGAGATTAACAGAAAACACATAGCAAACAAACAAACAAACAAACAAACAAACAAAAACAAAGTCTCTAAATTGACAAGTAAGGGCTAGTCCATGATGCAGCAAAAGAGTTGTGTGGTGTAAAATTCCAAGATATATTTATAGAGAATTTAATGAATGAGTACAATCCTCTGCTATTCTCAATTGGTGTGCAATAAAACGAGCAGCAAAATGCTGATTTTATAAAGCTGTCTAAGACTTGCTTAGCAAATATAAACATTTTGACTGAAATGATCATGGTAAGTGACATTTGCTCAACGAGAAGTTAATTTCAGAACAATGGATCGCTTGGGGAGTTTATGAAAAGAACATAGGGTAGCTATTGCTATAGTGTGTGGGGACTACAGTGTGTTAATTGTGTAGTTTCCTTCTGAATATAGCTCTAAAATATAAGAATCTGAATTAACTGGGAACAATGAAAAGACAAGCGGAACTAGATAACTTAACCATTCATTCTTTTTTAATCTTTAACATGTGTAATTTTTGAAGTGTACTTCATTAACTTGTGGAAAGGACTTTGGAATTGGAATGTTAAGTCTTGATTTCAAAACACGGCTCTTTACCAAACAGTGTTTGCCTTAAACTCTGCAGTGAAGTGGCAACTATTAAGAATTGACCATTAATCTTATGATTTATAAAAACAGAAAATTAATAAAATATTTATAAAAAAATTGACCATTCATCTGAGAGCAAATTAAGCTTGTTCATAGAACAATATTTTTTTCCCTCTTTGGGAGAAATTATTTGTATGCTTTGCATAATATTCTCAGTGAAGCCATGTTATTCATCAGAGGAAACCACTGATGGACAAGTTCAGCATAGCTGAAATTGCACTAATGATAAAATTGCTGTACAGGTTAAAACATTCTGGAGTGGGAATTATCAGAAATTGAAAAGCTTTAAGGGAGTAGCAAATTAATCATTCATCAATTATGAAGGGTAGAAAAGCCTGTGTATATTTGGCACTAGACTATATGGTTTGCCATCTAGCCATTCAGTATTATAATTACAAAGTGAATTTCAGGAAATGATGATATCAATGAACGTAAATTGTAACTTACTGATTCCTATTTAGAAATAATAATTGCTTAGTAAACCGTCTCAGTCTAAAGTTAAGGTCATGAATATAAGACTACTCTGTATTTCTTGGGAAAATATATAATGTCAGATTTAAGATTCTTGGCAGGGAGAAATTGACTACAATATATTTATAGTGTATGCTTGAACTTTCTTTACGACATTTCAAGCATTTGGTAAGGAAATTAAGACTGTTCATTTTTCTTTTTATTGGAGCGTCTCAGCACCCCACATACTTCTAAGGAAGTGTCCTGGATGGTGATGTCTATGCCAAGCTCCAGGATAGCACACAGTTAATTATGTTTTAGAGAAAGTCTTGTTATTTTTTTTTTAAGCAGGTCTAAAAGTTTGTTTTAAAAGTGAGTAAAAAAGTGAAGGAAATTAAAATATGCAGGGTATTTCTTTTTTTTAATTCTGTCTCTAAGACAACTAAATGGAGTGATGTCTGGGCCATGAAATTCCTGAATGAATTTTTTATGCCCAGACCTATTTGGATTACTAGAAAAAAAACAAAAAAAACAAAGCCCCAACCCTTTAGTTTTAATTGAATTTGATTCACATATATTGTTAGAAATAAAATTAAATATTAAAATTAAATGCAGTTCATTTGACTATCCAGTAGTAGAAATTAGTTTTGTTCAAAACTTGAAGTTACCTGGGAATGAAGATAGGGTTTTAAAAGGTGTTTTGGAACATGTTTTTTCTCCCATCCAATCAATTATGAAAGATTTTTCTAATATTGTGTCTTCTTAGCAACCTACCTTATGTACCATGCAAATAATAGGGGTCCCCAATTTTGGCAGGCCTATAGATTTCTTAAAAATGAAAGATAAATTATCTTTATTATAACTGCATTTTTCAAAAGAACTCTATTATTTTATGTAGTTAGGCAGACTGTTTCTCTAAATGAAAATGATAGCTTTTGAATCTCAGCTTTTAAGAGGAAGCTGTTTGTATTTTAGGAAATCAAACAGATTTTGAAAGGATCACGGTCATGCAAGTTACCTACATAGAATAATTGATACTTCCTCTATTTTTCATTTATCTTCTTCATAAAAATTATCACATATAGAGATACGCTGTTTTTTAATATTGTTTTTTCTTCTCTAAATATTACTCTGGGCAAGATATTGCTACTTGCTCATTGTGTCTGTTCTTCCCCATAAAACCAAACATTTTTCATATGTTCCTTCCAACTTCCATACATCATTACTGCCTACTCATTACTGCAGTGACCTTTTAATATGCTAAGTCCTCTTTTATGGTGAAAACATGTTCTTAATAGAAAGTGAACTTTGTAATTGCTGTTCAAAAGTTTTACACACATTCAAACATTAATTATAATAACATACATATACATTTCAGAAATAATTGATAATTTTGTGTGGCTTTGTATGATAAAGCTTGTACTATTGCACGGTTATATTGCTTCAGGTAGCGTCATGGAGGCGGAATGGGACAATTCGCCAGGGCCAACACGCTGAGGGAGAATTTAACAATTCAATGTAATTATTTAAAATAAATAAAAATATTTTCATTTTTGTCATTCACATTTCATTCTGTCCCTCCTTTTGCATCCTTTCTTTATTGATTCTATTCCACCATTTCTTTGATATTAGTATAATTCTTGTCCTATAGCAAGTTGCCCCATGGCACGTTGGCCAGGGTGAGTTGGCTGTGGCAAGTTGGCCGTGGTGAATTGTTATAGAGGAGGAGGAGGAGGAGGAGGAGGAGGAGGAGGAGGAGGCGGTGGCTAATAAATGATGGCAAGAGTAGGGAGCAGAGCTTTTACAGTATGGATCCTAATATGATAGGGGTGGTGCAACAGTGTTTTTGAATTCTGTTCCAGGCATACCTTTCCCATCAGTCAGTTACAGGTTGATGCAGCCACTTTTAATACCAAGATTTGATTAGTAAAATGTTAAAAAATAAAATAGGCAATATTCATAAACAGTCTGAAGGCATTTCTTTGAAAGGTTCAAAAGCAGCTCTAGATTTGTTTTAAGTTTACTGAGTGGCTCTTTGGGGGATCTGAGAAGACGAGTTTTGGTGTTCTGCTTGCAGTGCTTCTCTGGAGGATTTTTTAAAGAATATATTTCTCCTTCTCCAATATGCAGTCAAGGGATAAGTGCTGAGTTGCAACTTGTTCCAACAGTATCATTTCACTTTCAGAGTTTACAAGAAGTTTTAAATGTAGGACAAACGGCAGCTTTGCAGCCAAGAAAGATCACATTGCAGCGACTGAGACGTTCTCGTAAATAACTATATGCACAAAACATTAAGAATGTATAGGCCTTCAAGGGTGTGATTCACTTCAACAAAGAAGAAAACAAAGCACACCTGAAACTGTTTCATGAAACATTGTGTCCTTTTGCAGCTAAGGGTGAAGCAAATGGCTACATTGCTTCATTTCACTCTGCTTTGCTGCTGTTCTTCACAGCCTCCTACAGCTTCCTGCATTTGCAGAGTGTCTGGGCAAGGCAATCATATTCCCACTTTGCATTGGTGAGATGAATTGTACCACCTGTAGCAGGAAACACCTTGTGAGGGAGAATCAGTGCTGCCTCTGCAGGCTGAAACACCATGAACTGAAAATGTGAATGGGGAGAGCACTAGCAATTCTTTTTTAATTCCTTTATTTTATGGACTGAAATAAATGATGAAGGAGATATATACTGATTCAACTATATATTTTTTACATGTTTTTTTTGGTTAACTGAAATTATTTGTAGAATTCTGGTCATGTTCTTCGCATTTTGCAGTCAGCAGAATTGAAGATAATTTCAGATCGGCATAAAACTGGGAGATGGGTGTGTGTGTGTGTGTGTAAACACCAGTGTGAAATAATGGTGCCCTAATTGAATAGAATTTACATGAAAAGAGGAACTGTGCCTATTTTAGAAAGAAATCTCTAATGTGATGTGTTTTTAATTACACAGAAACGACTGAATGGACTTCGAAAGAGTTCCAGGCATATGGACTCAGGTTTGTTTGAGGGTTTTAAATACATTTTTAAAAATTTACTAATAAAAGCTGATGAGAGTGGAATTGATTTGTCATATTATTATTGCTCAGTTTTCTGACTTCCTTCCACCCAAGGACATTCCCTCCATGTTTTCATAAGCAGACTGCTAAGATGTAATTTGCTATGTATTCTAACTTCATGCATGTTTCTCTCTCTGATTGTCAGAATAGATTTTTTTTAGGCTTTTGATTTTTTTAAAGGGCCAGAAAGGATGCAATAAGCAGTAACAAAAGGTAACAATTTACCCCCACCCTAATCTCTCCTTTCCCCTAAAACTGGGACAAAAAATAAAACCATTTAATGATATATACTGTGTGTAGGGTTTGCCCCATAAACCTCACCAAGCTAGATTGGTCCTGTCAACTCTGCTAAGGTGTCACCAGCCATGTCCTCTGCATCTCTACGCAGTGAAAAACAAAGTGCTGAACATTATAGCCCAGCCTTAATTTAGAGTAAAGGTTATTTAGATAAAACTTGGATTTTTATCAGCTATAACCTACAGCTAGTACAGTGATTTTTCTTCTTCTTCTTCTGTGGCGCTTACATCCTGCAGGGACTTGGCAGTATTTCCAATTTCATCCTTGCAACTTGTTAAATTGAGAGGCTCAGATTGCCCCATCCAGGCAGTGAATATGGTCCCCTAATTCTGCACTGAGGATTTGATTGATCAGTTTAGTATTATTACAGTGGTTATGCCGCCGCAGCAGAAATTTTTGACATATCAGGCATTTCAGCAGTTAGAGCACCTTTTTTTTTTACTGATACTTTTTAATCTTGCTGAATTCTACAGCTTAGATTCAAATAAACCACGAGGCTTGTAATTACACTCCTGTGTTTTCAGTGGTTCAGTCCTATGACTAATTAAACTATATATATGTCGTGTTGCCTTGTTTTTCTTTTTTAAAAAATGTGTTCTTAAACTAGGTTTACATTCCTAGAGCTTCTGGGCTATTGGTTAACTCTCTCCCCCCCCCCCAGAAACCAGTTTTAACCTTGGAGTTAATCTTACAAATCATGTGTGTTCTTAGTTATTGCTGTTTCACCCTGAGGCTGAAGATAGTAAAAAATCTTCCTCAAGCAGAATTCAGTTTAATCGCTGCTTAATACTAAATAATCCCTTATAGCTTATAAACAACTATTTTGAATGCAGTTACCACACTGCATTTATATACACACACTGATTTTATGTCTCCTGAGAAAGATTTTATTTTATTTCTTTCATTAATTACATTCATAGCTTATCTTTTAATCAAATTGTCCCATAGTGCAAATACAGTGAGCTATAATAAAATCAAACAGTAACAAACCAATATAAATATAGAATCAGGTAAAATGTTCTGAAAAGCCTCTTAAAAGATAACTACTGTATATTTGCAAAGCATAAATAAGCACAACAGAGTCTAACATCCACATCATAAATGTTGGCATTCTGGTTCTTCTGAAATCATCTTTAAGAAAGAAGTGAATAAAACCATCAAAAGGTAGAAGATCTAGAGGCATCTAAACAATACTCCTAAATCATCTAGTACATCACTCATAACATACAGCGAAGACCAAAACCAGAATAGTTTTAGACATGATTGCGCTTTTACAGATGTTTTACTTTTGATATGAAGAACAACCCCAAAAACAAAATTACCATGAATTTAGTCCAAATGGCTGTCCACATTTTGTAGTTGCAGAAGTTGTGCATCCTGATCCTTCTAGATGGTTCTGATTTTCAGTCCCCTCAGCCCTAACAGATAAGGCCAATGACTGGAATTGTAGTAAAAAAAAAAAATTCAGGTTACCTGAATTTGGTTTTTTGGCAAAGCAGCATGGGAAGAATTGGAATTGGTGTGGGTGAAGGATGTTGTTTTTCTTCTACTCATAACTGATAGAAATGTGGATTCCTTGGTGCTCTCTGAGGCTTCACACAAGCATGCCCGTGCACACACACATACACTCATCCACACTTGTATCCTCAACTAGGTTGGCAAGCAAACATGACTCAAAGAGTGGGGGAGTTCAGGAGCCCTTTTATCCCCACAGTCCTTGCTTTATTCTGGTCGGTTGGGACTTGGGAAGGCCCAACTTCTTTTGTTTGATTCAGGTGACATTTTTTTTCTTTGTTTCTTTAACAACTTGGTTCCGCTTTCCCTGACGGAGCTTTTCCTGACTTTTGTCCACCCTGCTTATGTGCTTGCTTCATCTTTAGGTATGGCAGTTTAGTCCTAATCTCCAGTAGTTTCTTGTTTACTGCTTGATAATTGACCTGGTATTAATCCAGATGTTAATCCCAATTGTTGATTGCTGGCAAGGAGGTGTTCTGGTCATTTTGTTTCTATTTTAGCCTTTTAATTGTCTCTTTTGAATGATGTGTAAGTGTGTGTCTGTGGATGGTTACTTTATCTGAGTGCCAAGCTTCCAGGAATTCCCCAGCATTTTTGGACTTAGCTTGATCTAGGATGCTCACAATTTCAAAATCAAAACTATGGCTATATCTGTTCATGTGTATCCAATATAAACACAAATAGAGAGCACACCCCATTCTCTTCTAGCATTAAGAAGTTGCCTAGTTTGGTAATGAAAACTCTGCAAGTAAACAACCAACATCAGAGAAACCAATAACTCCACAGTTCAACCCTGAGCTACAAATAATCTTTTCTATTGAGACTAATGTCTAACTTGTCAGGAGTTCTAGTTTCACACCTTTCTAAAAAGTGGTGTTGAACTTGGTTGAGTAACATGTACTTCTTGCCTTTTATCTAAATCAGCGTTCCTCAAACACAAATATTTTCCAGAGATTTGGATCATATTTCCCATTAGCCTTTTGTACTATAGTAGTAGATTGGGGAAATCTGGGCTGAACAACAACAACAAAAAAAGCAAGCAGTACTTTTCTTCTTCAATTCTATTAAAACAAAAAAAAAATCATGTGTTTTACAGTAATTATGCAAGTGGATTTTTTTTTCTTGGCTCCATTTTATAAATTCTTTGTCACAATTTAATTACAAGGGGTTTCATACATGACAAGTTATGAGTTGTTAAATGCTTCTAAATGTAGCAACCTGAGAATATTTGCATTTAATTTTAAAATAGGGTTTCGGCCTACAGTCAATTACTTGGAAAAAGTCTTCTCTCTGCAAGAAAAAAGAGACTGATATTATATTACTGATATTCTGGGTTTGTTTGCATAGGAGCAGCCTCCCACTTTTTTTTGTTTTTGTAATGTCAAATATGGAATATTTTGGAAGAAATAAGGCTCCTTCATTGTTTTCTGACATTCTTTTTCTCTCCAGAGAACCTAATATTTTGTTAGAAATTAATGAATGAAACAACATTCTGAAAAATATAAGCTTCCGGTGCCATTTCAAACTTTTATGACAGAGAGGAGGAATCTTCTGTGTGTCTAGTTCAGGGGTAGGAACCTTGGCTCTTTTATGACTTGTGCACTTCAATACCCAGAATTCCTGAACCAGCCATGTTGAAGTCCACAAGTCATAAAAGAGCCAAGGTTGCCTACCCCTGGCCTAGTTGGATAGGATAATGGGAATCATCGGTCTGATTTTTCCATCTCTTTACATGTAGCTAAAAGCATTCCATTTTCAGGAGCACAGTATAGGTTCAAGATATCAGTTTCCTTTGAAAAGGAAAATGGTTAACTAAGAAGACAAAATGGCACTGAGCCAATGCTGCAATTGTCATATCCATTAAGGAGATAAATTTTAGCCAATAGTTCTTCAATGAGAATGGGAGAACAGTAGTGGGAAGACAGAAGGTTTGGAATCTTGATAGTTGAATATTACTTAAGTCTCTATTACAGTATAAGTCTTCATTGGTTTGCAATTTGGTATGTTGGAGTAGCAGAGAGAGTAGAATGGACAAGGTAAGGGAATATGGTGAAATCAGTAAGGGAATAAACTTGGGACCCAATGCCATTTTCAGAATTGTGGATGGATCTTTAGATGTTCACTTTGCTGATTTTGGTGAACTATCAGTTGGTTGTGCAAATCAAAACCAACAAAACGTATCTGTTCTCCAGATTCCAAAATCATGAGTAGAGAGCTAATTTGGCACCAAAATGTTGTTGGATGATGCAATAGATCACATTTTGGTGTTGCTTCTTCTAGATGGATTCTTTATCTAGTCTATCTATAGATTCTCTATCTATTGGACAGAAGTGTTCCATTTATCAGATTGCTCTTAATCATATTAGTTTATTTGGCTCTTGTGATTTTTGTTTCCACATTATTCGATTCTATTGCATCCAAAACATTTACTTACTCTTTATTTCCTTGTTCTAAGCACATTATTCTTTAACCAAGTTCTATGCTGCTTGAAAATCATTAGCCGAAATTTTGTTTTACTTGATTCTCTGATGTCCAGAAAGTATTCATATTTCTTTATTGAATTCATGGTGTTGGGCACAATGGAATTCTGGTCACACAGATTCATGCCAATAATTATCATGTAAACATATTGTCAACGCTGCTAACATTGGATGTTCTTGCTTTGACAACATATGGAGATGCAGCCATTTTCCTTCTTATGTTTTACTCTTAGAATTAGAGTTAGAATTAGATCAGGCATGTCAAACTCGTGATATTGGGTGACGTATCGCGACATATTGTGACTTCTTCCCCATTGCCGGCAATGGGGTGGGCACGGTTTTGTCATGAGGCATCTGGCTCACAGGCCAGCAGTTTGACATGCCTGAATTAGATGATACTGGGGGGGGGGAGGAGGAGGAATGCATGGGAGTTTAGTTAGACATAACAATATGTAACTAGGGTGAGAACCAAGGTTTTTTGAAATAAGAGATGATAAGAAATGGCGGGGTTGAAGAACTGGAGGGAAAGCCAGCATTTCAAACTAATTGGAGAATGTGATTTATGACTGTTAATTAGAGGAGGGAATTGTGCTTTGATACTATGTGCTCAGGGGAGGGGAATTTAGATTTTGGCTTTGCCGATGTACG